TGGTGATTGATTAGCAATGGATTCAATTGGTTGTCGTTGAACACTCAAAACTTTTTGTTGTTCAAAATCTATTTGATTTATTTCATCGGTTTTTATTTTAGAAAATGGTTCAAGAATTTGTTCAATAGAATTTGAACCTATTAGTTCATTTAAATGAGCATATTCACGATCACGAAGACGTGCTATAGCCATTGTACGTTCCAATGTATCATCTGTAGCTGTTTGCATCATATCAATTTTACTTGAAGGACGAATTTTTTTGTTATTTTTACGATCTTGTACCATCCAACTAGGTGGTGGTGTACGAGGTGTATATTTTCTATTAAGAAAAAAAATAAATGTTTGGAAAAAATGAAAAGAATTAAAAAAAGAAAAATATTCTAATCGAACAAACCCTATATCATTATCTTCACTAAGAAATGATTTAGCTTCATCGTATGTTAAATCAGACCCATCGGAAAGACGTGAAATGGGTGGTGAAAAATTAATTCGTTGTTTTTTTATTGAATCATTTTTTTCTTTTTGTTGTCTATTATATAATTCTCTTGATTCAATATCTGTAGTTTGTCGACGAAGTAATGGTAAATAACGATTTGATGCACTTAAAAATCTTTCGGGATGAAGACGAAATTCTTGTAATGAACTTTTTGCTGAACTTATTCTTGATAATGATCGTCTAGATTTTGGTGAATGTTGTATTTGTTCATTTGTATTAATAATATTTGATGATATTATTCTCACTGGTGGAGCTGAATTTGTTGTACGAGTATCATATGTTGAACTAGATGATTGAATACCATTTGCTGATGTTATATTTCGTTGTATTTGTTCGTCTACATTGTATGGATGGGATTTACTAATGACATGAGCTGATTGACTAGTTATATATGTACCATCAGTATGTATTCGAAATTGAACATGACGTTTTTGAGAATCATCATCAACTGGTGTTTCACTTGAATTTGTCATAGTTGTCTAATAAAGAAATAAGTTAATTATTAGTTGTTAATTTAACTTTTTTTTTAAATATAATAGCTCGAAATTTAAAATTAGATTTCTTTTTCATTTCGAATGTTTGATTAACAAAATTGACATTGTATGACATGCAATTTTTTATATCTCTACATAGGTCTATAACAATATAAAAGAATGATATCAGTAATAACCATAATTCATTCAAGTTTTGTCATACGATCATCTATGAAATGATAAATCTCAAGGAGCACTTTATTGAGAAGTGATTTCTTCCGTTTTTTTTTAAATACATACCGTATCAGTATTAGTTTTGCTTTCAGTTAATTTTCTGCTTATTGGTGATGATCCATATGGTCGTATGTGTTTTTTATTATGTTTAAGAAATGTTTCAGCAAGCGATGCGCTTGTTTGTGTACGTACATTAGCTGATAAATTTCTTCTTGTTAATGATGGTGTAGCCGATGGTGATCGTGATTGACTTCGTTTAGGTGATGAATTTTCTTCTAAAAATATTTTTGGATCAATATGATTTTCTTCATCATCATTTGTATCAGCATATTTACAACATTTTCGAACATAATTTAATGTTCTATAGTGAACATAAAAAGAAAAAAAAACATCAATTGAGTTTTATATTGAAAAAAAAAAGAAGAAAAGAATTAGTTTTTATTTGTTACCTAAGTATAGCTGGATTGTCTTTATGTTTTAATGCTTGTCTATTAGCAAATAATTTTTGATCGAAATTTCTTCGTTCAATTACTTTTTGTCGTTGTTCACTTAATTGAACTAGATTACTATTAAGTTTCCGACCAATTTGTGAATATGTACTTTCAGAACGTTTTTGTGCTGATATTGTTGCTAATGAAGCAGATGTTGTAGTTGCTGTATTACCAATTGATGAACTTCGTCCTTTATATGCCCAACGTTCAATACGTTGTTTACGAACAAGAAGATGACCCACACGTTGAGAAGTATGGGAACTTTTATTAGTGTTATCGTTTTGTGTCATGCTAAAATTGTGAGTTGATGCTGTCATTGGTTTTGGTTTTGCTATTGTTTCGTCAATTGCCATTTTGGTCTTGGTAAAAAATAAAAATGTTGAATATAAGACATACCGGAAAAGTAATTTAAAAAAGAAAAGAAACATTGCAGACTTACAAAGTCAAGATTTTAATAGATTCTATCGTTTATGCATGCTGTTGCATAGATTGCTTTCTCTTTTCTAAATTTTATAATGAACTGTTTACTTATGTCTTCTGGCTTTTTTTCTTTTTTTCTTCTCTTCTTTTCTCATCAAATACGAAAACAATTTTATTCTACATAAATATATTGTTGTTGTGATGGCAGCGAATCATTTACATTATGACCATATAACAGCACTTACGATGTCAACAACAACAACAACAGCAGCAATATTAACGCTTGCTGTTCAAGTATCGTTTTTATTAAAAGAAAAAAAAAAAGTACATTACATGCACGACACATCTGTCTATCGTAACTGTTTCTATATGTCATTTAACATATTCCTTTTAATATGTTGTCAAGAAGCTTTATATTAACGCAGACGAAAAAATAAAAACTTCAATGTTGATTTTTTGCTGTGAACACTAATTATTCATATAACATAATGATGATGGTATGTAAATACTTAATGAGAATAACAACTAATCAAAATAATCCAGTCTATAGTTGATAGAAGTACCTTGAATATGAAATACTTCTTCGTGAAGAAAAATATTATTTATTTAAAAACCAAGGATATCACAATTAATGACCATTGGTTTCTTACTTTTGTAAGGTGTCGCCCTGTTTTCATTTTTTGCCTCGTTTCAACAATAACATATCGATCTTAACCATTGCACAAAAAAAAAGCTTTTTTCTTTCATACATTAATATTCATTCTAATGATTATATGTGTCAAAATAAATTCAATATTCTTTATTATTTTAATAATCTCAAAAGCATTTTTTTTTCTTTTATTAGTAATATTTTTAAAAGATTTGAATATTAAAAAACAAAAAAAAAGAACATAATTCACGAAGTTAAACTGCACCTAAATCTTTTATTTTATAAAAAAAAAAATCAATTTCAACAAGAAGAAAAAAGAAAAGAATTGATATTAACTTCTAAACATTTGTTGCACTATATTCTTTAATAAGATTACCAGCAATTACTAATCGTTGAACTAAAAATATTAAATAACAAAATCAAATTAATAAAATAAATAAATAAATCTTACTTTCACTTGTTCCTTCATATATTTCTGTTATACGTGCATCACGATAATGACGTTCAGCTGGCATATCACTAACATAACCCATTCCACCTAAAATTTGCATAGCTTGATGAGCATTAAATGTAGCACATTCTGATGCAGCTAATTTTGCCATAGCAGCAAATTTTGTAAATGGTTGACCAGATGATTTTAATGCTGCAGCTTTCCATGTTAATAAACGAGCAGATTGTAAACGCATTTCCATATCTAAAATAAAAAGAATAAAGAATTATATAAAAGAAAAATTATTATTATTATTATTTTTTTTTTTCGGATAATTTACCAGCTAATTTCATTTGTATAGCTTGCAATTGTGTTAATTGTTTTCCAAATACTTGTCGTTTTTGTGCATAATCAATTGCACATTCAAGTGATGCTTGAGCAATTCCTAATGCTTGACCTGCTATACCAATACGACCTGAATCAAGTGTTGTCACTAAATATAATATCAAGAAAAATATAATATGAATAATTAATTTTATTTGATTATTATTTTTGTACTTGCAATTTTGAATCCATCACCTTGTTTACCAAGTAAATTTTCTTTTGGAATTATACAATCATCAAATATAAGATTGCATGTTGAACTAGCTTTGATACCTAATTTATCTTCTTTTTTGCCTAATGATAAACCTTCTGTTGGTTTTTTAACAATAAATGCACTGATGCCTTTATGTTTAAGTGATTTATCAGTTGTTGCAAAGATGACGGCTGCTTCGGATTCATATCCATTAGTACTAAAATTTTATCGAAATAAAATTTAGGCAAGATTTTTTTTTTTGTTAGGATTTCTTTTATTTATTTACATCCATGATTTTGTACCATTAATAACATAACTTGAACTATCATGTTCTTTAACTGTAGTGCTTGCTGCACCTGCATCGGAACCATTACCTAATGAATAATAATAAAAATGAAATTTGATTTTGGTATAAAAAGAGAATTGTAACAAACCAGGTTCAGAAAGAGCAAAACATCCAACTCGATCACCATTAAGAAACGGTTTGACAAACTTTTCAATTTGTTGTTTATTTCCATATTTTACGATAGGTCCGATGTAAAGAGACTAAAACAATTCTATAGTTAGTATTTCGTCTTTTTTTTTTATTAATTATTCTTATCAATAAAAACTCTACATTATGAGCAGACATGATAACACTAGTACCAGCACATCCACGTGATATTTCTTCCATAGCAATAGCATAAGCAAGTGCATCTAAACCAGAACCACCTAATGTTTCATCAACTTCAACACACATTAAACCAAGATCACCTAATTTTTTAATCTAAACAAATTTTTCAATTAGTTTTAAATGTATTTTTTTCTAAAAATATAACATACAATTTCTGTTGGATATCGATGTGTTTTATCAAGTTCTGCAGCTATTGGTTTTAGTTCTCGATCAGCAAAATCACGACATGTTTTTTGAAGCATTTCATGTGATTCTGATAATGTAAAAAGAGATGAACCAACATTTGTTGACATTGCACATTGTTTAAATACATTTACTAGAAGAAAAAATTTTTCAGTTTTCTTATTTACAAATAAAAAAATTTTCATTACTTCTTCGAATAAATAGATTAAACAAATGACTTTGTCTTGTTAACATCTAAAGAAAAAAAAAACAATGATTTTCTTAAATACTAACCAATGAATGTTTGTTTTTTTTATTTTTATTATTTATTAAACAAAGAAAAAAAAATAGCACTATTAAAAAGTTCGTTGGTTTTTTTTTTTTGTTCTTCTAATCTATCGACATAAATATTTCACAACATCTTTAATTAATATAACATTTTTAATATTATGTTCTTTTTGAAGAAATTCTTGTGTTTCTTTCATTTTATTTGTATTCACAAGTATTAATGTTGATGATTGATTATCATTAATTAATGGTGATAAATATTTTTCAATTATTTTCAATAATATATCTTCATTATAAGTAAATGAATTAATTTCATTTAATAAATTTTGATATTTATCAATTGAATATGTATTAAGATATGAACGAATACAAACACTTGTTACACGACCTAATGTTGCTAAATGTTCTGTCAACATACAAATTGTTAAATTACGTGCAGCATTCATTCGTTGTGAATCTAAGGATGTTTTATGTTCAACAATATTTTTAAGTGTTTCTAAAGCACTTGTATAAGCTAATTTTAATTGAGAACATTGATTTATTGATAGAAGAATAAGATTTGTTTCGAAATCAAAATCAAATGCAACACCATATGAATAACCATTTGTACGACATGCTGTCCAAAGTGGACCATTTTCCATATCGAGATAATTTGAAAAGATTAAAAGTGAAACAAAATCTTTTGGACTTATTGAAAGACGTGTCCATCGAAGGACATAACTAAATAAACAAGAAAATTATTAGTTTTTTTTTTGAGGAATGTATCAAATAGTGTAATTAACATTGATAAATATGGCCAAAACCTGTTTTGATAATCGGTTTTGAGCATTAATATACATGTCTTTTTTTTTATAGTAAAAGTTAGCAAAGCTTAATGGAAAGTAATCATTTATCAGCTTGACTGTTCTATATGATTATTCAGAATTTAAAATTTATCTTACGCATGTTTCACTGAAATTCTTTTAGTCTTATGAAATGATATAAGATATTTTGAATAAAATGTTAAGTGAAGTCAATGAAATTACTTCTTGTGATGGACAAATCCGAATTAGCGAAGTTTTCTTTCATAGTATGATGTTTCCATTTATGAATAGATGATTGAGTATATACTAAAATGTAAGATAAATAGATATATCTTTGAGGTGTTTTTTTTTGAATGCCTACACTTAGTATAGAGAAAAATAAAAATGTAACATTAGTAACAATGATTCAAGAATCGCTACATTCTGCGTGCGGATCCTTTTTTGGGATGAAGTAAGGAAAAATATTGGTAGACAAGACAAACATGATTGCATTTAGAACTAAGACAAAATTTTCAGTTGTATTGATATATATATCGATAACAAAAAGAACGTAATCTTCTCTTTTGGTAATTATTAAAATATTCTGGCTTTTCGTAAATAAAACTGTATTCGTTGCTCATTGAAATGGCTCTTCTAGAACGATTCGAACGTTGCGAAGACTGTTCTTGTTCAATTCAAACCATGGTTGACTGATCGAACTCATGAATATATCTTATTTATGTCTCAAGATTTGAATGTATTTGACAATAAGGAAATTAAATTGATCTTAGTATCTTATATCTATTTTCGTTTGTTTCTATTCTTCACTTAAGAAAAAATATTTATAGTATTACATCATTTAACGTATTCATTTTTTTTGTCAAGGATTTCTATTTATGTCATAAAAGTTTTATTTTTAAATGAATCGATATTAAAAATTTAGTACGTTTTTTTTTTGCAATTAGACAAATATTAAATATTGTGTATGCAAAAGAACACAATGTGTTCTACGAGAAAAACTCACCCTGATTCTTCATGTGGAGTACCAATAATTGTAGCGGGTGATTCTGTTGAAACGTTTTTTCCTTTTATTTGGTTATTTTCAATTTCTATTTGACTTTTTAATTTACTTTCATTCATAAATTGTTCAATAATATGCCAATTTCCTTCAATTAATTCCATATTTCCACATATACTAAAATGCATTTGAGATAAATTTTTCAATAGAAATAATCGAATACGTTCAAGTTTTGATATAATTTCATTTTTATATTTATCAGGTTGTTTACAAATTTTTTCAAATAGATTTTTTTGTAAAAAAATATTCATTTGATGATAATAATTATTTAAATTCGTTGAATTAATTAAACAATTAAAATATGCTTCATGAATTGTATGACCATCTTGTAATGCTTCAATAAGATGTTTTAATTGTTTTTCACATTCTTCAATTATTATTTTATAATCATTAAATATTGTTCCATAAAGTACATAACGAAAATAATCAATTGTATTTTTATAAATTTCATCATTACTTATTGATTGTAAAGATATAATAAAAGTATCAAAATAATGAGTATAAACATATCTTGATTGTATAGGTGATGACGATGATTGACCATTGGATACACTATAACTAAGAATATCACGAGAAATAAGTTCACAAAAATTGTATTTATCTAAGTGAATATTTTCATATTGAATAGATGTATGAAAAAGTAAATTAGAAAAAAGTGGAAGATATAATTGAAGATCTAGAGGTAAATCTTTTAATGGAATATGTAAAGTATATCTAATAAAATGACTTGTTGGACTATGAAAAAGATCAATTTGATCTTTATTAGAATAATATTCTATTTGTGGTAGATGTAATTGATTATGAAATGGAATTGATGGATTTGAAATATTAGCACATTGAGATGATGATTGTTTATTATTTGAACGAGCTTGATCAAGTTCATTTTTTAATTTTTGAAGACCCTTTGAATTAAGTAAATTAAGACGTTCAGCTATTCGTTGTTCTTCTTGTTCTAAAATAGAAAATATTATAATTGACTCTTATTTAGATAAATATGTATGTGAATAATTTCATTATCAAAAAAAATTCAATATCGAAAATGACAATTGACATGTTCGAAGATTTGATTGTAACTAATTTTGAGTAATATAAGAAGTCTATGATTGATAAAATATGTTGAATTACATTCACATAGGAGCGTTTAATTTATTTTATTGATTTGAAAAATACAGAGTCAATAATCTTATGAATAAGTAATAGCTATTATGACATAAAAAACTGTGTAGAATGTCTCGTGAAGTACTATTTGTTAGTCTTAAAAAGGTTACTCTTACGAAGGAAGGTTCGTAAGTATGACTCACCAATCGAATTGATAGTTTGTCCGTAAGTAGATTTCAATCAGACTAGTAGTATCCTATAAGGGTTTGTTCCTATACGCTATCCTTCTTAAGTTATTACAATTTTATTATATTTTCTATCTCCGACACGGTATTGAAGAAAAAAAAACGAATTATGAAATTTCGTCATGTACATTGAAATGTTTTAGAAGATATCGAATATTGAAAGCGCTGAACTTCCTTACGTTTCATTATGATACATATTTGTTTTTGAATATTCAAGATCTCAAGACGAGCACATTTCCTTAAGCTATAATTTTCAGAACATTTTAAGATCCACAAAGCTTAATAAAATTGCAATAACTTGCGAAGGATAGCGCATGTTTACGAATCCTTATAGAATTCTACTAATATCATCAGGACCTACTTATGGATCGAACATCAGTTCGCTTGGCTAGTCATCGTTGGAAACCTTCCGTGATCAGAAGCAGGGTATATTCTAGACACTTGGTGTGTTCAATTTCATATTATAGAAAAGAGAACAGACATCAACAAAATATTTAATTATAAATATAGAATATCTAGATGGAAAAGAAAAACGAAATTTATCGATATTCTTGGTATGATGAATGTTGGATGTTTTTTTTTTAAATATTGAATTCAATTATAATAATCAAATACTTTAACTAATCTCAAAATTAAGATTCGACAAGAAAAAAATGAAAAATCTATGATTAGAAATGAGTTTTCTCTTACATGAAGTTGATCTTTTTCTCTAGATATTTTCTCAATTTTTCATTTACCTTGTTGTTCAACTAATAATTCATAACTTGGCTTGAGTAAAATAACAGTTTTTTTCGATGAATCCCATTCTAACAGATATTTTTTAATAAGTTCATGCCAATACGGAAGTGGACGATTCAATAAATTTTCTAAATATTTTTGATTTTGTAAAAATTTATATAAATGTTGTTCATTATCATTTTCATTCTTTATATTTGACAGAGATAATTCTGATATATGATCTAAACAACATAAATCAGTAAGATAACCGAATGGTTCAGATTCAATTTCATTTAAATGTAATTCAATTTTCTTTTTTATATTTCGTTGTACTTGTGTATAGAATTGATCATTTTCTATTTGAGAATTAAGAATTGAATAAAGTACAGATGAATATTTATCAGCAACCATTGTTAAATCATCAATTTCAACACCTAAATATAAATAAAAATCAGTGTGATTAAAGTTGAGAAATAATACATTTGTTTTTAGTTATTTAATAATTTTGTACATAGACATGAAAACTACTTTAGTGAATGTCGTTCAACTACTAAGAAGATTTTTAGTAAATTAATAGTTCAAATTCCTCAGTTATATTTATCTTTTAAGAAAAATTATTTTGATTTGAGTTTTTTTTTAATTTTTTATAAATTACAATTTTTCAATAAATATTCGATGCATAGAAATTTCAATAGTTCACATCTTTTGTATTTATATGGTATTTTCTAACAGAGAGCTGTGTTTTCCTTAGGAGCATCAAGAATGACTAATTTTTGAATTTTCACTTGAAAATTTCTATAGAAATTAATATTGACTAGAATAGCATATTATGAAAATTTTAGCTATTTTTATTATCCCTTTGTTAAGATACAATCCTAGTAAAAAAGCGTGTCTTTTACATCACTGATAGGCAACTCTAGATTCGATGCTCTTATCTAAAGATAAGAATAGGTCAAATGACTTGATACTTTCACGATTAGCTATTCCTGTTAAGACTTATTTCTATGCAAAGTTTCAAGTCAACTTATGGGTTCGAACACTTTTCAGAGTATTCATAACTCATTAGAATCTACAATATTAACATATGTACCAACCTTCAAATGTAATCGTTAAGACTCTTTGCGGATAATTAAACCAATCGTGATCAATTGATGAACATAATGTATTTGGTAATTCAATAAATTCTTTATAAAAAATTGAAATATCTTCATCAAATAATGTTGTTAATAGAACATCAAGTGCTGTATAAATTTCCATTTCATAAATTGATTCTAATCGATAACCAAATGCAACTTGTCCTAAATTTTCATCATTATCATCAACTGGATAACAAACTTCTTTATATTCATTCATATTACGTTGAAATATTGAACTATCTGTTTCACTTGCCTGTAATAATGAATTTGGTGATGATGGACTAGATGACTCTCCACGTGACACCATTAATTCTGAATCACAAAATGATGATTCATTAGTTTCATTTGTAGTTGATTGAACTGATAATTTGGTTGTATCAATAGATTGTACATTAGTTTTTATATTTGAATGAATAAAAGTAGAATTATCATCAAAACTTGCTGATTTAATTTGTATAAAAGGAAATTTATCATCATGTAATTTTGTTTTTTTTCTTTGATTTTCATCTAATGAATATTCATTAGAAAGTTTTTGACGATTATCATATTGAAAAAAATTTTCTTGTTCAAATTTATTTAATATTTGTAATATTTCATTGACATTTATACCACCACCACATAAAATAATAGCAACATTATTTGGTGTATAAAATTTTTGATGAAATATTTTTATTTTATCTAATGTTAATTCATTACGTATGGATTCAAGACGACCACCACATTCATAATGATATGGTAATTCATCTGACCATAACTCACGTAGTATAGAATATAAAAGAATTTCATCTGGTTGATTTTCACTTGCTTGCATTTCACTATAAACAACACCAGCATCATCACCTGTCTCACCGGATATATGATGCACTTCAGTTAAATAACAATCATTTAATAATAATGGATAAAATATATGATCAAGATAAACAGGAAGAAGTGTAGATAAAGACTGATAATTAACAGTTGTTAATTCATAAGTTGTCATATCACGATATGTTGTAGCATTTGTACCCAAACAATAATGTTGTGCAGAAATATAATCAAGATAACCTTGTTGAGGATAATTACGACTACCCATAAAAATTAGATGTTCTAAATAGTAAGAAAGTAGTGAATGAATTTCTTATGATGTCAAAAATTGTTTAAAAATATAAGCAGTTAAGTAATATCATAGTTGAAAGTTATGTTTCAAATTCTGCAAAATTTATAATCTTTTTACAATATTAAAAATCATTGATTGTTATGAAATATCAATTTCAAAGCCTTTTCACATCGGTATAGATCGTAAGAAAACATCCAACCAGAGAATTATCTACTTTCAGTATTAAAGAAATTGTTTTTTGACAACGAACAAAAATATTGTATTTATGCATGATAGCTTTTTTCTCTTTTATTTACTGACATTCTTAAATGAAACTTGACTCTATATACAAGTTTGTTGTTTAGTAAAGTTTCAACTCATAACTACTCGAAAGTTTGATTAATTGGGCATATGTGAGTATAGAATTTCCTAGATTGTAAATGTTACTGATATTTTTCTAGTAAAAAAAATAGTTTGTTTGAATTTTCTTACAAAATTCTATTAGAATTCTAAGGAAAGTTAGCTTTTGATTCTACAAGAAATGGTTTGTATGTGAATATTACGTTTATCGAACATAGAGATTAAAGAAAATAGTTACAATTGATCTTTTATGATGCAGTTTAATAAAAATTGCTTTCTCTAATTTGAATGAATCAGCTATCAAAATAAAATATAATTTAAAGTGTAATATTAATTCACAACTGGTCAATATTTATAAAATACAGAATTTTCTAATTTTCAATAATAGAATATAATATTCATTTTTTTCAGATAGTAAATGCTGCAATAATTTTCTCAATCCATTTAATGAATCAATTATCGAATAAGTTTTGTTCTTTAATCAAATAATATTTCTGAAACATATTTTACCTAATGTATGTGCACAACCAGTATCATCATATGGTTTTGTTTGTACACATATCTCAAGTTTAATTAAAGGTAGCGGTACATTAATATGATATAATTTCATCCCCGTTTGTTTTGATTGATATTTTTCAATATTAAATGTTGGTTGACAATATGATGATATTAAATCAAAATTTGATTGTAATCTAGCCATTTGTAGATATGAAATCCTACAATAAATAATTCTTAATAAACGATTAGCGTGTTGAATCATTCATTTTTTTTTTTTTTTTTGTATTTATTTTTATTCTAAAATAACATTTATACAATGATTAGCACAATGAACAAGTGAATAGTTTAATAAAAAATAGACGAAATATAGAATAGAGAGATAATCATATCACATCGAAAAAAAAAACAAAAAAAATCAAATGTGAGCAGCATTAAGGAGTAAGATTTTTCACAAAAAAAAACAAAATGAGTTATATGAATAAATGCGAAAAGAATTTTGTGCAAATAGACTAGAACCAAAAAAGAAAAAAAAGAAACAAGCACACACATATATATTTGGCCGTGCACAAAGAAAAGATAGTTATATTGCTATTAGTTCTCTCTACTTCTATATCTGAGCATAGATAAAAATGAAGAAAAAAAAAAAAACAAGATGAAACTTCTTATTTAAGCAATTAAATAAAATAATTCACAATTAGTATGATCAAAATTAATTTTATCAATTGCTTTAAATAATGATGTAACATTAAGATCATCTGGTAAACGTGTTAAAAATTGTAAACAATGAAATGTATCTAATTGACATAAACGTTCTTCATATAATGATAATATAGCTATAGCTGTACGAAATATGAATGCATCACCATCACGAAAAAATAAATCCCATATACGTGATACAACATCAAGTGGTAATGATTTAGAAAATATTGTAAAAAACCAATCTAATGCAAAACAATTTGGTTCAATTGACATATGAATAAAATGTGCACTTAATTTAGGTAAATGATAATTAAGTAATTGTTTAAATAATTGTAAATATTTATCAATATTATTAAAACGATAAAAAGTTTGAAAATATGGACGATTTAATAAATTTGAAAAACAAATAAATGAATCAAATAAATCAAGATTTAATAAAAACATAGCAGCTAAAAATGCTTGACCTTGTACATAACCAACTTCAGGACAAAGATATACATATATACAAAGTAATAATTGAAGATATTCTAAAAGAATCAAAATTATTCAAATATATAATTAATAATTTACATAGAATGATTGAGAACATAATTAACTAGATCCTTGAATAGAAAGCTATAACCTTTTTCTCAAAGATCCAACGGATTTTAGTGTCTCAACACCTTGTGTTTTTTAGCATCTAGTTGTTAATAATGTCGATTTGAATATCAGAAATTTTTTTTTTCAAACATTCTCGATATTTTAGGTAAATGTTAGCCCACAATAGAAAGGTACCTTTGAAAGAGTAATATGAATTTCAATTATGAAAGGCCATGGTTCTTCATTCTGAAACGGAAGGAGAAATTATGAAGTAATCGCTTGAATGAATTCTTACATGTCTTAAGGGACGAGATCTGTATCACGATGAAAGGAAATATTTTCCGTAACAGCATTTCATGACAAGACTAGACGAATAATTTGTATTGAACTATTCTTTCAAAAATGTATCCACAAGACTTTGCTTTATGCTGACGTCTTAAATAGTATTTTGAAGACGATCAAATTCTCAATAAAATATACAACTCGAATTACTCTTATAATCTTATCACGAAAAAAAAAAATTTATCTCGATCGCAATTTAGATTTCTAGTCTTACATAAATATTCATTGATTATTGTATCTAATTGTTGTTATTATAATAAACCTTGACTTTATATTGGTTTTATGAGTTATACGTGACAGAAATAATATATTGTAATGTAAATATTAGTATGGATTTAAATTACAAATGACAGCTGTAATAAAATCTTATCAAATGAAGATTAAAAATCAAATATGATTATGATTAATTAAAATGAGAAAAACTCTTCTATAATTTCTCATATTACTGAATACAATTATTATCTTAAAGCAATTCGATAATAAACAACTTATCCTTGTATATTTCAAATTCTGAATTCTATGTAATCGATATTTTGTATTTTTCAAATCTAGGATTCTTTGTTTCTCAATCTCGAATTATTCATTTGGGTAACTTTGTTTTTTATTAATGAATATTCATTCTTTCATATACATACCATGGTATGGTCCATATTGTTGAAAAAGTCCAAGTTGTGGAAATGTTCTTGATACATCAAGTTGAATAAGTTCAATATATGTACTTGTTGTTTCACTTGAATGTGAAAATGTTGTTCCTAATTGTGGTGATCCTGAATGATTACTACGAGCATCTTCTGCCTAGAAAAATCAAAAAATAAATTTTTTTGTTGAAAAAAATTTTTTTATTTTCATTTACTTGTTTTGTTACTTCTAATTTTTCTCTTGCCATTTGTTCAAGTTGTGTAAAAAGTTCATATGTTAAACCAAGTTCATTTCCAATAGCCATTTTCCATATTTTTCCTCTTATACCTAAATAAAAATAAAAATTTTGAATGTTTTTTTTTTTTATTATAATTCTTTTTGTTATACGTGGTGGTAAACCATGCCACCATAATTTATAAGCTTTTGAATTTAATGTTAAATCTGGACAATTATCTATTCCACCATATTTATCCCAACATGGTAAAATATCATGTGTCCAAATTTTTAATGATTTTGAAACAAATTCTTCACGTTTTAATTTTAGACGTTGTCGTTGTTCTTCTTTTTCATCGAATAATTGTTGAGCACGTTTAGCTTCAAAACACATTTTTTGATATTCAACTTGATGTTTAAGTGTTTCTTCATTTGATTTTGGTGGTAAATTTATTGGACGATTTTCAAATATTAAACCAGTACTACTCGTTTTTGTTGTTGTTGTTATTGTACGTGTTGTTAATGTTGAAGAATTAAAACGATTTGAAAGACGATGTAACCAACTAAATGAATGTGACAATGATGATGTATGTTGATTGTTATTAGTTGATGATGATGTTGTTAGAAGAGATTGTGTAGATATTTTTCCTCCTTTTGATGGAATAGTATAAGTTGTTGTAGTTGGCATCTTTTTTGATTTTGTTTCATTATCTATTTGTTCATCAATACATTCTATTGAAAGTGGTTTTATGGGTTCAATCGAATCTTGACTAAAGAATAAAAATATCAATTTTATTTTTTTCAATAACAAACTCTAAATGTAAATATTTTAAAAATATTTTCATTTACAACCATACGATGAAAATAATAAAGGTTATATGTTAAATTATATTTAGAAAACAAAAATGATTTTTATGATAGTTAAGTAGATTCAATTCTTTCGTTTAATCATGATACTATGAAAAAAAAACAGAGATCGATAAAAATTTATTTCCTTATCAATCGACAAACAAATTGATATCAATATTTTTCTCACAATAAACAATTGATTAGCACGCAACATTAAAATACTCATTATCTATAGTACTTAACTCATATCAACAACAAAGATTGAGATTCATATTTATATTTATATGAATATTGTATTTTAGCTTAGATTCATTCGATATAGGTATTCAATTGATGATATCATCAAAAGGAAGTCAAATTAGGAACATGTTATGGGTCACTTCTTTCGTGACTCAAATCCGAAATGACGTTGAAACCTTTCATAATAATGTAGAACAATAAATCTACTGAGAAAAGCAATCAAGAGAATTGAAAGTTGCAGAAGATTTTTTTTCTCTATCGATCTTCTACTGAATTTAATTCATAAACTTATACTTGAATTCATTTATAACTATCAATAAAATTCGTACAAATGTTTTTTTTTAAATAGGTCATGTCAATTTCTTTTTTTTATGAAATTCTTACTTGATAGTTGTTCTTTCTAATGATGTTTCTGATACACTTCTTGATCGATTGATTTTTTTCGTTGGTGTTATAGGTATTTGTTGTTCATCATCTTTTTTTTTTGATGAAAAAAATGTTGCTACTGTATTAGCAAAACCACTTTTTTTCTTTATTATTTTTTCATCATGAATTGTTTGATCAATTTGATCCGATGATGTACAACAAAATTCATTTAAAAGAACACTATAATTTGATACCGAATAATTTGAAAGACTATTTCTACGTGACCGACGTTCACCACTTGATGATAATCCTACATAAAAAGAAAAACAACGTATTTCAATTTATAGAAAATAAAAAAAAAACAAGTAGCAATTCCTTTTTTTTTTTGTTCTTACCGTCTGTATTTGATTTAGAATTTTTTCTTAATATATTTGATTGTTTATCATCAACATCATCTTCATCATCAACAATAAATTCGATTTTTGTATTAGTTTTTTGATTATTATTTGTATTTGAAACAGCATATGATGATGATGAACAAGATGATGGTGAAGATGCTATTTGTAAAAAACTATTCATACGTTCATTTTCTTCATCAATTGTATCTGTATGTGATGTTCCATGACTAGCTGCACTTAATGTTTTATAACCGGAATCAAGTGAATTTGATTTACGAAAATATTCCGCATTTGTTTGACGATTTGATAATGATGAACAAATTATGTTTTCATTTTTTGTTTCATTATCAAGTGAAAATGATGATGATGATGATGATGATGACGTTGTTGATTTAATATCAATCGTACATGCTGAATGAGCAGAACGAAGTGATGGAAGTGGAATTTTTGGAGGCGATAATTGTTCACTTGAATGAGAACGATATTCAAATGTTGTTGATGTCATTTAAAAAAAATGCATTAATCAGTATGCTTGAATGATAATAAAAAAAAAAGCAAACGGTGTGGTAGGAGAGAACAACGAATGAAGAAAAAAAAACAATTTTTATTTTCAACCAATCGATAAAGTTAACTACGATAGATGTCATTCATAGAATCTTTTTAACGAACAAGCGGTAGTTTCTTCTTCTTTGTTATTAATTTGATCGTTTCATTATTTGTTAGAAAGGATGGTAAAAAAGAAGTTTTATGAATAAAAATCTAAAAAAGAAAATTTCGTTTTTTCTTTTTATATTTAGCGACGAAGTCTTGCACCAAGTACAACTGCGAAACGTTTTATTGATTGTAGTGATTATGAAAATGATTCAGATGATTCAGA